CTAGACTTTGAATGATGCTTTATATTTTGATTGGAATATTTCCGAAATTGAAGGGAATTCCTCGGTATATGTCCCATAGAACCTTGAGGTATAATCAGTTCATCAGATGGAAAATCTTCTTCGTTATCCAACTCATTATATTCGTTCTTATACTTCCTGTACATCTTGGGGTTAAATTCAACATTACTAGATGAATACAACATATCCATATCCTCCTCGTCTACCCATTCTTCATTTTCATATGCATCTTGAAATTCTTCAGTTGCACCCCATTTACTTGATTTTATGGTTCTCAAATCATGCATATCTATTTCATCATTGGCATTGTATTTTCTTTTCATAAGTCTCTCTGAATGCTCATGAATGCCAATATCCTGTCTCATTTCCGCCCTGACAGCTTGTCTGTAGGTTTCTGAATTATGTTTAGCCATAGGTGAATTTTGAAACCTTCCTTGTTGGAGCCCTGGACCAACATCTCTTCGAGATTCATATTCTGTTCTTAAAATTGGTAACCGGTCAGCCTCGTGTTCACCCATATGTGAAACTTCATAGTCTGGTGGCATTCTTTTCCCATTTTCAAGATGATATCCAGATCGCAGATAAGCCTCATCTTGCATTGATGTAATTGATGTTCTTCTCACATCATGATAGTCATAATACTTTGGCTTCTGTATTGCAGGGTGATCATGTACAATAGCCCTTCTTTGATTGCTATAAGAATCTTCACTCTTACCATTTCTATCTAAATCTGGATGTGAAATATAAGGTCTGGAAAACTCCCTATTATCATATTCCGTTACAGCTTGTTCATAGTCCAATCGACCATGAGGCACTGTCCTTTTAGGTAAATCATCGTATTGATATAAACGCTCATCCTGTGCTGCCCTTGCCTGTGATTTATAATTAAGATAATCCACATGCTCAGTCCTGGTAGGACTGAACTCACATCGTTGGTGACATGTCATATTCCTTGATCCAATTTCAAGAGCTCTAGCAGGGTCTAAAACTGTCCTTTGCCCATGCCCACTAAACCCTGCAGGTTCAGCAAGTTTCCCGCTGCTCCTTGACAGATCATAAGATGCAGGTAAACAGATGCCATCACCGTGTGAACATAGAAATTCGCTCCTTGACATTTCAATGGTGGAACCTCCATAATCCCTCATGTGAGAAGTGCCTGCAAAATCCTTTGCATAGGAGGGAGATAAGGCAGAATAAGAAGCATCCCTAGCATAAAGAATAGTTTTATCTGCCCCACTGTGTGACTCTGTGAGGGGTATCTTATTCATAGGTAGTCCGTCTCTGTGTTGTAGTCTATCGTGATCAAATCTCCTACCTGTTGGCACACCCCTCGACGGTGGAGGAAAGTGTCTACCGGTTTCTTCGTACCTCATTGTTACACTTACACCCGTATCTTGAACAGACCTATATTTATAGGATCCTCCAACTTCATTTTCACGTACCACAAACTTCTGATCTACCATACCACCCTGCCCACCACCCAACCTGCCCTCAACCAAGTCCTTCTCTCTATCAAGGTAAATGCGTTTTGCATCTAAGTTTCCATTATCGACAGAGTAATCCATGGCTTTTGACAACTCGTACCTTGCTCTCAGGCCTGGTGGTGGTGGTGAACAACTTCTATCACGGCTAACCCCATCATCAAAGTGTGACCTTTTCCTTACTGTTTCACTTGGAGGTGACCTTGACCGAACCCTACCACTCCTTCTACCACCACCCACACGCTGCCAATCATAATCCCTCCCTTCAAACCCATCAGAACCCCCTTTGCTCCCACCACTACCCCTTCTCGCCCCATTCACCTTCAGAGGGCTCATCTTTCTCTGCAGCACCGGATCCGACCCGTCTTTCCTGTTTCTCCTAAACGGGTCGGGACCCGATTCGAATCGGTGCGGTGCAGCGTGCTCTTCCTCGCGCCGTCTACTGTATTGCATGCTTAATTCAATAAACAAAACGCAAACCCTATATACCTTTTCGGTTGAATTAGGTAATTCCTAAAGGGATCTTAGGAAAAGCAAGAAACCCTACCGATGCACACAAACCCTAACCCTATAAATATTTTGACCGGTGATTGCAGATAGAGATGAAGCAAAAATCAAAGTAGCGATTAATGAACGAGGTGAGATTTATTCGTGCTGGCAAACCTTTTTGGGGAAAGCGCGAAGTTCAATCAATGCAGATAGAAGTTGTAGAATCATGGCGATTTTGAGTGGGTAATATATCCAGCTTGTAGTACTAAGAAAAAAGGAAATTTAGGATTAGAATCGGAAAGAGAAGAGAAGAGAGTGTGATGGATGATTTTGTTCTTGGGTGAACCACTTCAACTGAAACTCAAAAGTTTTATATTTGAGATTCATGGCTTTTCGTTTCTGCTCACCAAGTGGTAATGGTCAAATGCCAGATTCGATATTATTTAATTGATAAATTGTAATGTTAGTCTTTTAATTTACTTTTATTTTCACTTTTTAAAAAAAAAAACTATATAGTCTTTTTTTTTTCTAAACACCTTTAAAAATATTAACAGTTGAAAATTATCACAAAATAATAATTCTTTTAAAATAATTTATTATCAGTGCTGCTATGAAATATGGTCATTCTGATATTTTAAATTTAAAATCATCTTTCTAAAATTATTATAATGATAATTTATAACTGGTACTTTCTCAATTGTTTATATAAGTATTTCAAGTAAGTGTATCGTACAAGTCAAAATATTTTTCTTAATATAATGATGACGTTGAAATTTCTCAAACAACACCACACTAAGATAGTGATCATGTGATATTGTTTAATATTTTTATATATATTATGTTCGATTAAAATTGAATTTTATATATATATATATATATATATATATATATATATTAGCTTCATATTACATAGTCATGTGTATATATCTCAGTTTCATGTTATTTAATTATGTAGATAAAGGAAATTTAAATAAGAAATTGAAAAAGACTTACACGAGAGACTATAAATTTAAGGATAATCTTTTTTAAATTGGTACATCTTTTCTCAAAGGAAAACATCTCAGCCATAAGTATATAGACAGTGATCTTTTATATTATCTTTTTATCACAACAAAAAGACATGCGTGTCTAAAGCGTCTATCAAGAAAACTTTGGATAGAAAATATTTTCACATTGAATTTTCAATGGATTCCAATATATGCATGATGACTGAAGTATGACAAATATAATTTAATTATAATAATAAATATATTATTAAGGTTAAATATATTTTTAATTATTAAAATTTTATTAAAATTATAAATAGTTTTTCTTTTCTTCTTTTGAACTTTGATTTTGTTGGATTCATTTATTTTTAGAAACATTAATTTTAGTATTTAGTTTTCATTAACGTTAAATTTTATTATACCAAGCAAATGTAAACTTTTTTTATGAATCTAAATGAAATATTTGTTCCTACACAGGTTACAAACGAAGTCATACATCAAATAAAATAAAAAATCAAATATAAATTTATATACATATAAAATATTTTTTTATAAGAGGTCTCTTACTTTTTAAATTAGATTGTATTTATTTATTTATTAATTAACTTAAAGCGTGCTAATCAGTGCAACAATTTTAATTTTTTAAATAACTTAGGAATTAATATTAAACATCATCTGAATTTAATATTTTTTATTTATAAAATATTAAAATAACATGGCACGTATTATCTTATATATCATCAAGTTCTGTTCTCGAGTGAAATGTTATTTCTTTATCACGAAAGGTAAAATTTAAGGCAGTTGAAAATGATGTAATAAAATTAATATCTTTTTAAAGTAAAAGGATAACTATCAAAGTTTTGAAAAGAGATATTTTTAATTTTTCATTTAAGGAAAAAAACATATTATAACTTTTATTATTATGTTGCTTTTATTAGTTTGGCATTTCATATTATTGTTCTATGTTATTCTTATAATCATATTTTACACAAGAACAAATTCTTCTACAAGTATATTTTTTTAGAATTCTTCGTCACATATAATTCAAAAACTATTTATTATAATTTTTTGTTGCTTTTCTTAAGAAAAAGAAGAAAGTATCAAATTTTAAAAGGCTATTTGGGTTAGTAAAAAAAATATGAAGGTGAAAAACTAAAAGTCAGATATCATCTCGTAATAAACACAGAAGTGGGAAAAAAATACAAATAAAAAACACATATAAGCTTCTGAGTAGAGTTATCCTAACTAATCCAGTCATTATCTTAAGTCATTCAATAAAAAAGATATTACTGAAAGTGTGTTAATTATGATTTGTGATTTCTAAGCTTAAATTTACTTGACCAATATGAGAAGTGTCACAAAAGTTACTTGCCAAAGGGGGCAAAACATCAAAATAGTGATTTTTTTTTTCAAAATTAACAAAATGGATAGTTTTAACATAAATGGCAAGTGAAACTTTAATGTTAGGGTGACATGATTTTAATGCAGAATATTTAAGTTAAAGTTGTACAAAAATGTTATAATTTAATTCAAAACATTTTAAATTAAAAATTTGTGTGAATTTACCATGATTTTAGTTTAGTTTTAATAAAAATTATGTACAACTTACACCATCAACTAAAATGCTCTTAACTAAAATTTGTATTATCTTAACACGATTTAAATTTTAAAAATGTTATATATTAAAGTTGTGACATGAATTCTTCAAAATAAAATTATATTAATTTGGCATAATTTATTCATTTTCATAATTTTTTTGAATTTTTTTCATTTGAATAATTTTTTAAAAAAATTTCACGTAGGTGGTTTTGCCGGGCAGGGTTTCCCAAATGTATCTTATGCATGAAGAAACGTAAGTTAGCACCCTAATACATTGCTTCCCTATTCAGTCTCCATTCTTTCTTGCCCATTATCTGACTTTGAATTCAAGATTGTAACTTTGCAAATACCTTGTGAGAAAAGCAAAGATTGTTCACAAACAATGCAAAACCACATCATAATCCATCATCACTGAGGTGTTCATTGTGGATGCAACATCATATTACTTTCAGTTTTACTACAAAATCTCCAGGAGATCAATTATATTCCTGGAATGCAACAAATACTTAATAAAGAAAGGCAAAGAGTTTCTGGGAGTCTCTTTACTGTATTTAGAAGCCAAGAGAGAAGAAGTTGTTGAAATTGAAGAAAGAGTATTGAAGTGAAAGCAACAGAGGCCTCTTGTTGAAATAAACCAACACCAAAATCATTGGACCAAGTTTGTGGGGAAGCACATGGGCTTAGTTTGCAGCAGCAGAGAGGAAATGCAGAAAATGAAGAACCTTGGCAGCATTGGAAGCAGTGGGAGGCTATCAGCAGAAGAGTATGAGGATGAAGATATTTCAAAGCTCGCCATCTCCACGTTTCAGTCTAAGGAAGAAGAAATTGAGAGGAAAAAAATGGAGGTGAGAGAGAAAGTTGAACTCCAACTTGGTCGTGCTGAAGAAGAGACTAGGCGCTTGGCACACATTTGGGAAGTAAGTTTCATGACATGATGTTGACAGTAGTTTCAGTTCTTTAAGCTAAATCCAAATTATGCTATTATGTCACGAGTTGTTATTGTCACTCTCTCTACTAGGAGCTTGAAGTGCTTGATGATCCCATGAGGAAGGAAGTTGCAATGTTACGCAAGAAGATTGACTTGGCTAACAGAGATTTGAAGCCACTGGGACTTAACTACCAGAAAAAGGTACTCATTAGTTGAAGGCTGAGTTTATACATGAAGTTTTTATTCCTTCCTAAACACATTGAAATTTTGTTTACATTATTATCTAATCACAAACTGACAATAATAAATTTATGGACTTGTTAAATCATACTCACTACAATTTCTGATAATCAAACTCGTACTTTTGAAGGAAAAAGAAATCATGAACCAGAATTTTTAAAATTGGGATGGCTTTGTATTCTGGAACTACTTTCTTAATAATGTCGAGTGAAAACTAATCTGTGGTGTTGTCTGATAGGAGAAAGAGTGTAAAGAAGCCTTGGAAGCTTTCAACGAAAAAAACAAAGAGAAGACTCATCTTGTTGCTACACTAGTTGAGGTATATAGCATACAATATCTTTCAATAAGTTTTTCCAAACAGATTTTTAAATGAGAAAAAAATTGAGTTTTTCATTTGTTAAAATTAACCCAAATACAAACTAATTTATGCAAAGTTCTCACGTACATTTTCTCCAAATTCTTAATTTTCACTTGATAAATTAATTTTGACATTTTGAGAAGGTGAAACATACCCTTCTCAGTTTAATTTTTCTTCCTGTCTTCTTTTTTTAACTGTTCTGGTAACCATGTATCTGTTGCTGTATTTTATATTTCATAAATAGATGCTGACTGAGAGTGAAAGAATGAGGATGAAGAAACTGGACGAGCTATGCAAGACAATAGAGTCTCTGTCTTTGAAACCATAACTTATGCGTGTGTGTGTGTGTTGCGTTTACTAGCTTGGTCTATTCAATTTTTCAGTGGCTTGTGTTTAAATGTACTTGCATTCTTATTATTCAAAATTAAAAATGCCTTGTGGACGTCACATCGAGAGAAAAAAAGGGGGAAATTTGTCTATATTAACAAATGAAGTATTATTTTATGATAAACATTTTAAAATATTTTGATTATATCGAGATAACAAACAGTATGCAAGAGTTTCAAAATTGTAACCTCAACCAAATTAAGTGAAAAATTAGAACAAATTTAACATAATCTGGATCACTTACACTCCTGGATCTTTAGATATGTTCATGTGTAGCAAAACAAATAATATAAACCACTACAGACATTACCATTACAAATTTAATATATTGTTTTTTCTCAAAAAACTGTTAAAATATACTATAATGTTCAGTTAGCTAACTTTAGAGGCTGAATGTGCCAAAGTATGGGAAAAAATATTGAAATGTTGATAATTATTAAAAGGTTAATGTACATAAATAACGTATTATTTGTGACCCATGCTTTGCGTTCGGTATAAATTAGAAACTGTTCATACAACAAGTATTCTTCATATAGGTAACTGTTTGTACTCTGCCAAAAGTTTTGGAATATCGTCCATGCGCAACTGCAATGGAATAACAGGGGACAATGAGAAAATAAAAAAAGGAGTGTGGTTAAACATAAAAACAAAATGACAGAAGTTATACAATAGGGTTACAACTTACAAGGGTAACTTTTGTATTTAATGTAATCAATCACAGACTTCAACCAAATATAAAGTCTCTGCAACAATATATACCAAAAATGCAATACCAGACAACCTGATGTATTTTAGTTTCAATGTTCAAATCAGTGCCACTGGCATATCGTTTTGATAATATTTTTATGTACTCAGAATATTACTACTGAAATATCACTTTTACCATATAGTGTTGATAAAGCATGTCCAAGAAGAATATCTATGATTTTGGTATCACTATATCCAAGGAGAATATCAAATATACATTTCCAGAATATTTTTTAAGTAAAAAGGAATATCCAAGGAGAAATAAAAGCACCGGTAAAGGAGAATATCCATTAACCACAAAAATATACCTGAGTAGCATTTTTGACGTGGTAAAATTGATACATCACGTGTTCACCAAATCCAGGCGTCTGGGCAGATGCACTCCTTTCTCTAAAGAGGTTAGACAAACAAGCAACATAAGCCAAACTATTCACCACTCATGTTCATAAAGAAAAGGGATCATCCATAAGCAGATACACACACACGATTATGTGCACGGTATCAAGATTCTTTTTCTTTTTCGATCAAAACAATTGTTGACCTCAATTTCTTTCAAGATCCACTCTTCAAGGATTTGCTCAAGCAAGCTAACAAAGATTGCCAGCAGATCGATAAATTTTAGAAAATTCTACCTAGCAACTTCAATGGAATATAGCAGGTAGCAGATTAAGCCAGTAGGAAGTTGAGAATAGATAGTGTGTGATCAATTGCATACGAGTACCCAAAGAAAAATAGTAATAAAGAAGCATGCATGCCAAAAATCTGCCCCAAATTCTGCTGAGAATACGAGGCTCATCAAGTTTTGCAGATACCAAATGCAGAAACATCATAGAAAGAATTGGATAAAAAATATAGTTCTTACAGATAGTGCCTGTATATAAGACGTTGGTAATCCCGAAGCAATGGTCCAAGCTCTTTGAGTTTAACCATATTTGGTTCAGACTTTCTCCAGTGTTTACGAATTGTTTCGATCGCCTTGTTCAAAAATGAAATATTATTTCAATTAAAATTATGATGATATGGACATACAGAAAATTTCCATTCAAGTAAGGGAATATTACCAGTGAATTAGTAGAAACGTTTTCACCTGCTAATCTTGATGCTACTTCAAGCAGCTCTTTATCTTCGAACTCGTTTACAATCTCAAGGCTGGAACTGGAAACTGATATTTGCAACCGTCTTTGTAATTCAGAGAAAGGAAATTTCTCTGTCTGGCTTTCCTGACAAAGATGTCAGCAATAAATTAATCAAGAACTATAATGTGTTCAAATTTTACTTAGAATTAACAAATGAAATCTAAGATTGTCATGCCAGTGCCACTAAAAGGACATGACAAAAAAGAAGATTTGGCAAATAATAAAAACAAAAAAACTGTTTTGGGGGGAGGGGATACTGCCTTTGGAGTGTCCGAAAAAGCACCTCACCATAAAAAAGAAATGATAAACAGAAGAAAAAAGTATTTGAGCATTTTAAATTAATTCTTCACTGTAAAGTTAGTTACACGTGCTTAACACAGTAAAAACATAAAAACATTAAAGTGATAAAGTGATGAACATTATAATAAGATATAAATTATAAGGTCACAGTAAAAAACATAAATATCCTAGCCCTAGAAAAAGCTCAACAAAAAGACCCAAGTCGCTAATACCATCACAACAGAAATCAATCAAAGAGTACATCCACGAACTCATCATTAGATTCAATTCCGCAGCTGTCAAAACTTCCATTTCATCACCACTTGATTCCCAGTCATTTTCAACATATGCAGCTGGTGCCTTTTGATGATGACTCTGCATATTTGAAGGTCAGGCCACACCGCCAGACTTCGATGCCGTCCAGACTGCACCCAAAATTAGCCGCTCGGTATTATGGACCTTTCCAGGTCATACAGCAGATAGGAGAAGTGGCTTTTAAGCTACACTTACCTGAAACCGCACGGATACATCCAATGTTCCATGTCTCGCAATTGAAGAAGGCCATGGGGGAGAAGAGTGTGGAGAAAGAGTTGCCACTAGACTTGCAGATGGAGGGACCGTCTTTCTGGCCTATCAGAGTTCTGGACAAAAGGCAGATGCAACAAGGAGAGGAAGAGCGTCAGCAAGTGTTGATCGAATGGCAAGAGGGAGGACCGGACGAGGCAACATGGGAAGATGCCACAACCATCATGGATCAATACCCAGACTTCAACCTTGAGGGCAAGGTTGATCTTCAGGCGGCAGGTAATGTTAGGGGCTGGCGAGTATACGAAAGAAAGAGATATAGGAGAGAAAAGGAGGGAAACCGAACGGTAGAGGATATGGGCCGACCGGTGGGAAACCGAACGGTAGAGGATATGGGCCGAATAGTGAAGAGGGTGGAGCACGAAGACCGAACGTTAGAAGGAAGAGAGAAAGAGGACCGAACGGTAGAGGATATGGGCCGAACGATTAACGACAGGGAATGAGCGGTCCAGATGATAGAAGGGGGAGAGAGACTTAACCGAGCGGTAGAAGGAAGAGGGAGCACGATGGCCGAACGGTTAGTGACAGGGAACGAGGAGCACGATGGCCGAACGGTTAATGACAGGGAACGAGCGGTCCAGATGATAGAAGGGGGAGAGAGACTTAACCGAGCGGTAGAAGGAAGAGGGAAAGAGGGCCAAACGGTGGTGAGCAGCGAGGAGCATCCTAACTGACACAGCAGTTAGGATGGGCGGAAAATTTATTAGAATTTAAGGGCGTATCTCAGGATATTATTAAATATAAATTAAATATAGTAAATAAGGGTGAAGATATTCTTACCCGATAATCTTAATAAATAGGCATAATTACTATGATTCTTTACCTTTTCGGGAGAGAGTGATTAGTATAAATAAAGTTAGAGTCTA